GAGTTGTTCCAAAGGTGACCCACGGCTACCCTTGCAAAGTATGCCAGGGTGAGAGTTAGGAATACCCCCTCAGCTGAGTTGTAATTCGATTCGAGTCGCCGTCTCTCCCGGTTAGTGAGAACTTGATGGGCTTATCTCCAATGTAGATACACTAAATAACATAATGGTTCAGAAATGATGATATGATGATGACAGCCTTATTATACCTGCTATGGTTAATATTGTTTGCTCCTAATAAGTGAGTGCTCTAGTACAGGTGCTAATCTAGTGGACAGGTAAATGATGATAAGCTTGATTTTAAGTTTAAATTGGTTACTATAATCATAAGCTCTTTTATGCAACTGTGTCAAGCTAGCCCACCTCGTAAGCCTTGCATGATCCTTGGTGTCGTTTATTTCTAGTTTTTGTCGGGTAAGTCTAGCTGAGTACCTTCTCGTACTCAGGGTTTATCTCCCACCTGTTGGAGATGACCAGTTCTACTTTGGTTGCTGCAAGTATTGCCTTCTCCCAGCTGGGGATGAAGACTACGCCATTGGGCGCGGTCTCTACTAGTTCTCGTACCTGATAATGCTTTTGTGGGACATGACTCAGACTTGGCAATGTATTTGAAACTATAAAGTTATGTACTAAACTATGTTGCTTCCGCAAATTTGAACCTAGTTTGTAATATTTTATTCGAACTCTGATGGATGTAATCCGAATGCTACTTATGAAATGTTGTAACGGATGATGTGTTGTGTTGAATCACTACGGTCTTGGTTTGTATGTCGAGAGTTGGTTGAAATCCTTCGTGATTTCCGGACTACCGGGATTATGGGAGCTTAAGTACAGGAATTTGATCGCTTCAGTGATTGTTTTTGTACTTACGTTCTTATGATTTGGTCGGTTCTGTTACACTCATCTTGTTTTGTGCCCGCACGCACATTAGCAAAACGGAGCTGCCGAGAGAAAACATAGGCATATAGTTGAGGTTGGACTCTCTCTTCTAGCTCATTCATCCATGCCTCTGAAGTTTTGGGACGAGGCATTCCTTACGGCAGTTTTCCTAATCAATTGGTTGCCCTCCAAAGTCATAGACAATGACACACCTTTTGTTCGCCTGTTTGATCAACAACCTGATTACAGTTTCCTTCGTACATTCGGTTGTGCCTGTTGGCTAAATTTGCGTCCCTATAATGGGAAGAAACTCCAATTTAGATCCAAACCATGTGTCTTTCTTGGCTATAGTGATAAACATAAGGGGTATAAATGTCTAGATCCGTCGCAAGGACGAGTATATATCTCACGGGATGTTGTTTTTGATGAAACTGTGTTTCCCTTTGCCTCTATGCATCCAAATGTGGGTGCTCGGTTGAGAGCCGAGCTCGATCTATTACCCAATATACTTCTAAATCCACCTCTTGGGAACGTATCAGTACATGACTTGGTGTCGAGTCCTACCATGCCGTCTAACCATTCATCAAGTGCAGGATCAAATTCGGTGGAAAACGGGCAAAATTTTGGTGAAAGCGGTGCTGCAAACAGCCATGGCGACGATCCATATTTCATGTTCTCCCCCAGCGGTGGCAGCACGGGGGTCGATGCTACTTCTCCTGTGAACGCCGCTGCATCAGCCTCGGATCGAGCGCCCCGGCAGTCGTAGTTGTCGGGTGCTCGTGCGGGCGGGGCGCTGTCTCTGGCCCCAGGTGGATCTTCTACATCGACTCCCACTGAACCGCTCTCAGGTGTGCAGGGTGTGGTGGCACATGGTGATCCAAGCGGGGCCGCCCTGTCTGCTGTCCCGCCCAAGGTGGATCCTCTGACCAGATCCCTTGTGGCTCCGACTACATCCGCTGCGGCTCCATCTTCTGCGCCCAGTACTGTGGCACCGGTGTCTCAACCTCAGCGTGTACATGGCACATGGCTTCAAGCTGGGGTGACAAAGCCCAAGACCTACACTAACGGCACTGTAAGATGGTGCATGACCTCTACCACTGATACAAGTGAGCAAGCCACGGTTCGTGAAGCGTTGCAAGACAAGAATTGGGTTTCAGCTATGGATGCCGAATATCATGCCCTTCAACGAAACAATACCTGGCACCTGGTTCCACCGTCTCAAGGCAGAAATGTCATCGATTGCAAATGGGTTTACAAAATCAAGAAAAGGGCAGATGGGTCTGTTGACCAATACAAGGCACGTTTGGTTGCCAAAGGCTTCAAGCAACGATACTGTATTGACTACGAGGACACGTTTAGTCCTGTGGTCAAGGCAGTGACTATACGGTTGGTCTTGTCTGTTGCAGTTTCAAGAGGTTGGTCTCTTCGCCAACTAGATGTTCAAAATGTGTTTCTTCATGGGGTTTTGGAGGAAGAAGTTTACATGAGACAGCCGCCGGGGTATGTTGATAAGAAGCGTCCTAATTATGTTTGTAAGCTAGACAAAGCCCTCTACGGGTTGAAGCAGGCACCTCTGGCGTGGCATGCCCGACTCAGGAAAATTGCAGACGTTGGGCTTTACTCCGTCTAAATCCGACACCTCTCTTTTCTACTACAACAAAGGAAGTCACAGTTTGTTTGTCCTGGTGTATGTGGATGACATCATAGTGGCCAACTCTTCCCAAGATGCAACCAATGCATTGCTACGAGATTTGCAACAAGAATTTGCCCTAAAGGATTTGGGTGATCTGCATTACTTCTTGGGTATTGAAGTTAAAAGAAAGCAAGGAGGTCTTGTGCTCTCTCAAGAAAGGTATGCCTCTGATGTTCTTGCTCGGTCTGGCATGAACAAGTGTAAACCCGTAGACACACCTTTGCCAAGCACAGAGAAGCTAAGTGTCTTAGATGGTGTCAAGCTTGGGCCGGAAGATTCTACTCGGTATAGAAGCTTGGTTGGTGCCTTACAATATTTAACATTGACTAGGCCTGATATCAGCTTTGCTGTGAATAAGGTATGTCAATTCCTACATGCACCAACTTCTGTCCATTGGAGCGTTGTTAAACGGATCCTGAGGTATGTAAAGGGAACAATTCATCTTGGGTTGAAGATTGGGCCATCTAAATTTATGCTCGTTAGTGCATTCTCAGATGCAGACTGGGCAGGATGTGTTGATGACAGGAGATCAACAGGAGGTTTTGCGGTGTTTCTAGGGGATAATCTCATCTCTTGGACAGCCAGGAAGCAACCAACGGTGTCAAGATCAAGCACTGAAGCTGAGTACAAGGCATTAGCAAATGCCACTACAGAGATGATGTGGATCCAGAAGCTATTGGCTGAATTGCGCGTTTCTCATCCTTCTATGGCTCGGCTTTGGTGTGATAACTTGGGTGCTAAATATCTCTTGGCAAATCCCATATTCCATGCAAGAACCAAACATATTGAGATCGATTTTCACTTTGTTCGGGAGAGAGTAGCACAAAAATTGTTAGACATAAGGTTTATCAATTCTGGTGATGTTGCAGATGGATTCACCAAATCACTTCCTGTGGTTAAGCTTTGGCAGTTTAGAAACAATCTCAACCTCACAAGTGTTAGTGGCTGAGATTGTGGAGGGATGTAAAATGATAAGGATCTTGTACTCACGGTACACAGTACACGTGATAGCTCTAGATATTTTCTGTTGTAGATCTTCTAGCTTGTAGCTCAAGTTAGTAGATAGGATAGATATGATCTCCAATCTGTTGTAACCAATTTAACTTGATGTATATGCCACGATGGGGGCGATTCCCATCTATATAACATGTAACCGAGACCCCTAACAGGGCAACTCGTTCTCTCAATCTTACAATTTGTGCCCAACACTCAAAATTTGAGAGACGAATTGTAATAGGAGCTGATCGAGTAGTTGTCTATTTGCATGGCATACGCTTCCTTTTTTGCTTCTCAGAATTTCCGAGTTGCCACACGGTATGTAGCTTTCATCCCGTTATTAGTCCCCGTCCGATCATTAAAGCAACGAACCATTAAGCTCCTAAAACCGATGTGCCGCTGGACTCCCCAAGCCACACTTCTGTACACACCCACGTCCTACCTTTTTATTTATCATTATCATTTCATGTCAGCCGTTGAAACTCCACCCCGTTGTAGATAACAATTGCGTTTTTTTTGTCTGACAATTTCATTCTTTTGGTAATATAATCCTTTTTTATTATTGTATTTGTAAAATTGTAGACTCTCCTGCAAGAGCAACAAGAGCTTTCTAGACCCTTTGTGTGGGTAGTACTGCTAGAAAATGGAGGGTGAACAATTTTTAACGCCAACACATATGGAGTAGTTAAATCAGTTACATGGATGGATTCGATGGAAAAATACATTGGCATAGATAGATATCATAAGCATGCTGGAGAGATTATAAGCAGCTACATCTTGCCCGAGGGAACAGTGTCATGGGTCCCTATGCTAGCATGTGAAGAAAAAAAACATTATCAAATCCGAAGAAGATTAACTTAGCAATAATTAAGGCTAGTAGGATGTAATAAAGTTACTGGTAAAATATATCCTAGTAAGTTGCAGCAAAAGGAAAAACGTCGACAGCAGGATTCGAACCTGCGCAGGCAAAGCCCAACAGATTTCGAGTCTGTCTCCTTAACCACTCGGACATGTCGACAACTCGTTGCAGTCCAGCATTTCAGGTCTCTTATAACTGTGTATTACTCCGATGTACCCTAGTCTCTTGAGCAATCGCACGTCTCGCATTCGTCTTATGCCAATCGTACATCTCGTCCAAAGCGAACGTCCGTATAAATAGTGCTGTAACAATAACTAACCCCCAAGGGCAGCAAAATCATGCCAACCATCGTAAATTAAAATAACAGAATTTGTTCTTTATTATTGAACTTCCTCGGTCACGTTCAAACAAAACCTGCCAGCTTGCTTGCCTTTCAGCACATACTCGCCAAGTTCCACATCAGAGGAAGATTGGCTGGCGAAACTACATCCAAAACCGAGCGTTCTACACAATTCTGGTACAAAGGCATCCACTACTGACTGTAACAACTCAGAAAAAAGGGGATAAAGTGCGACATCATTTCTTCTGCTTGCTCGATACATTCAGCTGCTGGAGGTTGAGCAGCAGGTCGTTGGAGTCCAGGAACACCTTGTTGGCAGAGGCCGAGATCGTGTGTGAGATCTCCCTTGCAGCTTCAATCTGCCGTAGGGCAAGGAAGGCAGGGTGGTTCGCGATGGCTTGACCAATCAGCTCCGCACTCTTAGCCTCTCCCTGTACAAACACAGACCAGAGGCAAATAGTGCTTCAGAACAAGGTTCAGCTCAACATAATTACTTCAACAAGGATACTACAACATAGGAATAAAATCCATTTTGTGCTTCTACTGCTCTGGCTCAGCAGCTTGACAAGATTGAATTGAAAATAGCATGAGGGCAATAGAGCTAACACAGCAATAGACCTAATGATGCAACCAGAATCATTAAAATAACTGCTTATAGTACTCTCATTTTGCTTCATTAATTGGTTTCTTACCTGAGCCCTGATAATTGCACTTCTCTTATCTTGCTCAGCTTTCTCGACAATAAACTTAGCACGCTCAGCTTCCTGCGCAGCAACCTGCTTGGCTTCAATGGCGTGAGTAAACTCCTTTCCAAAGCTCAGGCTTGTGATGGAGACATCATCAAGAGCAATGTTGAAGAATCTAGCCCTCAGTCAGTATCTTCCTAATCTCCCTGCTCACAGTCTGAAATTGGTGGGAGAAAAGAGTAAACCGAAGTGCTCTCAAGTATTTACTAGTAACTTCTTTTTCAAAAAAAAAATATAGGTAATATACAAAAGCTATGTTCAATCATACCTCTCTCTGTGTGATCAGCTGACTAGCATTGTATTGAGCAACAACAGCTTTCAGTGTCTCATGGATGATTGAAGGCAAAACTCTCTCATTGAAGTTCTCCCCCAAAGTTCGGTAGATATGTGGTAGACTCTCTGGCATAGGCCTTGTGAGGACACGGAGACCAATTTTCACCTGCCAAGATAAAGAACAGAAAAGATAAGTATCTCAAAATATTAAATGAATCACTGTGATCCAAATACACCACCACCACCACCAACAAAGCCTTTTAGTCCTAAGCAAGTTGGGGTAGGCTAGAGTTGAAACCCAACATGGTACAAAAATTCACATAGCACCACATGGTACGAAATGAGGTGCCTAATTAATGATGGCTTCTATTACCGAATAAATGCATACTACTCCATTAACTACAGTGATAGAAACTAGTAGAATCAAAGGTGCCACATCTTAAATTACATATAAGAACCAAATTCTAGCATTCTACAGAGTCGATAAATATACTGTAGAACAATTCATCATATAAAAAGGAGCATTGGAATACTGATAATACTACTCCAGGCGAAAAGGTAACTAGACTAAATGCAGGTAAATGAGCATGCAGAATAAAAATGTCTACATATCTGGCCAAAACAGCTATATATGGCAATAATCGATATTTGTCAAAACCACAAGATGTTCTGAATTTATCAGGTTCATTGGTCACAACTTTGGCATGAACAAATATTTCAATGAAATTGCAGACAAACTACTGGTGCTGAAATAATCATAATAGCCAGTGGCAGCTATTAGGGGGTCAAATGAACAATAAATCAAGGAAGAAACAGGTTTGTCAGCCCAAATTTCAGTTGAACAATGTGATGCAATAACCAATTGATGCAGAAGCATGCATGTCAAGCAGCAGACAGCAACATTGACACTGGAACTAAAGATAGGCTCCAAATCATGAAGAATGGTAGGCTGGAAGAATTGAACAAGAAGTGATTTGCATATTTAACAACTAAACACAGGCTCCAAATCATGAAGAATGGTATTTATTAACAACTAAACACAGGCTCAAATCATGAAGAATGGTAGGCTGGCAGAATCAAACAAAAGTGATGTGTATACTTACCATCTGAAGATCCCGGCTCCCAGAAGTACTCTCAACAAGATTCGGCCGAGCACGGACATCATAAATGATTGGCCGTTCAAACCATGGAATCATAAAGTGAGTCCCTTCAGGGTATACCTGCATATAGAAAATTTTTGGTGTAAATTGAACTGGTTCATTGTCTAGGGGGAATGCAAACCTAAGGATAAATATTAAATAGTAACCCCAATCAACAAATGCCCTAAAAAGTCAAATTGTACAATAAGAGTTTTTCACTAATTCAAACAATCGTATACATACATCAACAAGTTCCGATGCACCAAAAGATATCACAATTGACAAAGGACTACAAATAAAGGTGCACAAAAAAGATGTCACAACCTACTTGGACAGGTACATCAGTACATGTTCTGATTCAGTTTGAAGCATGCTCAAGATAAACAAGCAAATCTCAAACCATCTTTGAGATTTGAACTGATTAATCAATAAAGAAAAGCTGAGCATGTCTCAGACAGGCATGCTTCTATCTCAAAACAAGATATTGCAAGCTGAATGTCATGTTTTATGCAAACAAACTTTCATATCATACCTATACAATTATATGCCCATTCAAGCAATCACAATATACTAATATAGCTAAAACTTTACGCTATTTACATAGGCCTTTCTGGTGCATGATACCAAGGAAAACTGTTAATAAATCAAGTTATTTGTGAAAACACAGGAGTCAAATGGAAAAACATGCTTTGATAGCTTAGCTCTTCATACGAGCTAACAATGAATACGCATGCACAGATAAATACTTTGCAATAAGAAAAGATATAGAACAGTAGCTAATTGTGGCAATAAGCATTTAGACTTTATAAAGTTTGCGTCAATTCTCAAAACATAAAACCCACTAGCAACTTAGCAAGTTGATTCTGTAGAAACAATCATCAGCAGAAAATAATTAATACATAAACCTCCATTTGTCTCTCCCCTTGACACAAAACTAGCACCAAAACAAAACCTAACATGTTTCATGGCATTATGATGGGGTGAATTCACACTATCATCACATCAAAAATATGTTATAAATACTTGCTAGTATTTCACAGGAATTGATGGAGTGTTCAAGCATAAAAAAACTGCAAAGGTAACCAAGCATAAAAAAACTATGCCCTTTCCCCTGAAAGGATATCCAAGGCCAAGATACTACAATCTTTTTCTAAAAAGAATTAATGTTTAGTCATTCAGTGCCTCTTCCAATTTGAACTTACAAACCTAATTGGATGCATCCAGAAATGTCGCAGATAAATAGCATGGCCGCAAAACAACCTTTCATATGCAAACCATGATCTAGACATTTATCAGGAATAAAGCATTTCAAAATGAATGAAGTAAATAACTTTGACATTTGAATCATATATAGGTAACATAAATACAAATCTAGTAGATTCTCATCTAATCAAGTGAATATTTTATCTGAAAGATAAAAAGCATCGAAGAACATTGGCACAGATCCAAACGGACCCGGCAGCAGTGGGCCCAGAGAAGGGCCTGCCTATCCCTGGCTGAGCACATGAGGGAGGCTAGAGTGAAGTTTGCTTAGGAACAAGTCATAGGGAGTATAAATATGGGGGAGGGGGACATGTACTCATATCAATCAAGCAAGAAATAGAGGATTATTCCTTAGGCTCTCCTGCTACCTAGCCCCCCTTGCACCGACCCTCTTCCAGTGCTGTCACCGGCTTCCCCTTGCACGTGGCCTGTGTGGGCAACCATGGGCAGGCATCGCGTCCCAATTCCCCGCCTTCCTACCTCCTCCTACAATATATGCAGTCCAGCTCTCACCAACATCGACCCATCACAAGCATACATCAGTTAAACTAACATATCACAGAAATTAAAAATAGAAATGTTTCTGTGTTCATCATGGATAAGAAAATCACAGGAAAACCTAGAGTTCAATTACAACACAGAACGCACAAATGCATAGAGCCATAGACACATCCACATTGATACCTTCAGTAAGTGATTGCACTTGCCTGTGACATAGTTTCTATTTTAAGAGATGTAATGTAACAATGGTGAAATGAAACATGGACTTTTCTTGTAAGTACATCCACAACACCTAAGCTGATAACAAGCCAGCAGCTAGTTCCAATTTTTAAACAATTTTTGGGTAATCCATCATAGCAAATTTTAGAGCTATCAACCTACCATAACTGTCAATGTGGGATAGTCATTCAACAATAAAGCTAGCAAGCACTTCAGAAATTAGATGTCGAAACAGGAACAAGAATGATGAAATCACTAGTAGTGTAGTACAATTTGGAATGCTATTGCAAACACCCTTGACGATTTGACAAGCACACACACCTCATGTTTTGTTCTGCCAATTGTTGTACCTGACCTGTATCTAATTTAAGGGGAATGTGCACAAAACTCTCAATAACATCCTGGGAATGTGCCCAAAACTCTCAATAACATCGTGGACAGCAATTCACAGAAGCACAACATATACACATTTCACCAACGACAAAAAGATGCCAGTCCTACTGACAATTTGACAAGTTGGTACGGCCGCGCATGCTATGTGTTCCAGACTCCAAGAATTTTTTTTATACAAAAGTAACACGCATGGTTATCTCAGATTTACTGGGACACCAAGCAAGGATGAAGTTCACCGCAGAACAGCGTCCACAGCCACATTCCTCTCCCAATCACACCCGCAAGACTACCCAAACAAACCGCTTCCCCCGGAAACAACCAACCAACCACCGCGCATCATCGAAATAGGGCCCAAACCTTGTCCTTGATGCCCTGGATGCGGTTGAAGACGATGGCGCGGTGGCCACCCTCGACGTTGTAGAGGCTGTTCATGGCGGCGTAGACGGCGGCGCCGCCGAGCACGGCCACCTTGACCAGCGCGCAGGCCCCCGGCGGGGGCACCGGAATCCGGCCGCCGCCCTTCACGTTCATCCTCGCCGCGCCTGTCGGGGCCGCCGGAGACGTAGGAGATGCTGTGGTGGGGACTGGGGAGGGAGGAGCACTGGGGGGCGGCGGCGCGGAGGGGCGGCTAGGGTTTCTCTGGGGTTTTGTTTGAGGAGAGGATTGGGGGAGGTGCGGGCTTTGGACTGGGGGCTTTGTTTGGGGTTTTGTTTGATGAAGGGAGGTGGGTGATCGGGGCCTTTGGATTTTAAGCGGACGGTGGGGCGGAGCAACGGGGAGTGAGAGTGAGTGGTTTCTTTCCTGCACGGCAAGAAAAAGGAAGGAGGACCCTGGCAGGTGATGTCCTTGGGTGAGTGCCGTGTGGGTCCACGCCGCGGCGCTTCGAGATGGGTTTCCGAGCAGTCTCCACGACACTATCGGACCCGGGGCACCAAGCCTCCAACTTTCAACGATGCCGTGCGTAAAACAGTCAAAATACTTGCTAGAAACGTTTTTTTTTTTGAAATTTTGCTACAGGACATCTTTAGAATACGTAATATGCTGATAGACACCCAACGAAATTTGTCCACTACCATTACAAAATCGTGTGCATTTGCCGTAACACACCGAGTCTATTATTTTATTTATTTCTCGTATTCGTGGAGAGAGACAGTAGAAATGACTTTGTTGTCCTTGTCTTCGACCTTGGGCTGTCACCTCATTTTTTGCCGTAACACATCGCCACCACTGGATCGAGATGATGTTGCTGCTGCTTCCGGTGCCACTGCTGGTCGTGTCCTAAAGGTCGATGAGGTCCACGTACCACAGCAAGCAGCCGCCGCTGCTGTAGGAGTATGCGGTGCAAGATCAGTTGCAGAGGCACATCACGAGCGGCGGCGGCGCTGCAAGGCTGCAGGGCGGTGTTCCTCATGGCACAGCCCGCAGTGTGGTCGTCGTGTAGCCCCACTCGACCAGAAGAGCACCCACTGGCCGCGCGGCAGCCCGTCTGTGACGTCGTAGATGAAGTAGCTCTCGTTCGCGAAGTCGACGCGAGCTCCTCGGGTCACGCGACGCGCTCCGGCGGCACCCGCATCCCCTGCAACACGTCCTAGTTCCAGAAGCGTGGCGGCGACCGCATCCCCTCTGGCACGTCCTAGCTCCAGAAGCGCGACGGCTGCGCGAGCTCCCCGGCTCACGCGACACGCTTCGGCAGCACCCGCATCCCCCTCCGACACGTCCCAGCTCCAGAAGCGAGGCGGCGACGCGAGCTCTCCGGCTCATGCAACGTGCTCCGCGCGGCACCCGCATCCCCTCCGGCACGTCCTAGCTCCAGAAGCTCGACGACGACGCGAGCTCCCCGGCTCACGCGACACTCTCAAAGAAGTGCGTGGTGGAAGCGGAAGCACTGCCCCAAATCATTGAACCGACAGTGACATAATGGGTTGACATCACTAACCGACACTGGTTTACATGCACCGGTATCAGTTCCTGGCTCCACCCGACAGTGTCCAGTTGAACAATACTGTCGGTTTGTAGACCCAACCGATAGTGATGGTTGCTTCAAGAGTGTCAATTCTTGTCTCAAGCCGGCAGTGTTGAGCAAGCTTATACTATCGACTTGTGTCTTAAGCCAACAGTGTTGAGCAAGCTATCACTGTCAGTTCATGGCTCAAGCCGGCTGTGATGGTCCAGCTATCACTGCTGGCTGGTGGCTTAAATCGACAGTGTTATCTTCAGCAACACTGCCTGTTTGGATTTCGAGCCGAACCAACACTGCTGGCTCTGTACCATGAACCAGCAGTGCCCTCTTTACCATCACTGCTGGTTTTTGTGCTAACCGGTAGTGATCTTTTTTGTCGCATTTTACTGTTTTATAATTTATTTTATTGGTGGAATCGGATTTTGCTTTATATTCGCTACGTAGATGACAGGACTATCAACATTAAACATTACAAATGTTATGGTTATAGTTCAAATGTACTTATGAAGCTCTCGGTCTCTTGAAATAAAAAACAAATTACAATAGTTTAGCGAGCCGCTCTGGCCCATATTGCGTCTTGTACTTCACGGACTATGCAATGGAGAATATTCTTTTTTCTTTCCGAGCACTCTGATACGATGAAGGCTGCTAGCTCCGATGACAGTGCTATGACCTCCATTTCTAGCCACCTATTGTGTTTAAATTTCTTGCGATGTCATTCAAAAAAACTGGTTTTAAAAGGCAGAAATGTTAGAGAAATAAGTAGATCATTTTGTTGAATTAACAGATATAAATGAAATGAAGATTATACACACCAAAGCATGTGCCGCCTCCGATTTTACACCAAGGTAGCGAAGCATTGCCTACATTACGTGGAACCCGCATTCATTATTTCCCGCTGGCTGATCTAGGGTCTCCAATTGCATTGGTGCAACCTGGAATGGGACCTTCGTCCCACCAACCATTCTTGCTTGGACACTGTGCCACATTATAAAGTGTGAAAAAGGGGTAACATTAAAATATGCTATGTGCAATTAGAAAATAATATATTATTAAACACTTCGACTAGGGATTGAGCAAAGAAAGTGGCTTTTTCTTCAAGTCTCACACCTTAATACGATTTCTTTTAATATCGACAATAATGAAGACGAAATAGTTGCTGCAATCACAAAACCCTAGTTAACGAATATTCATAACTACAAAAAACAAGCATAAAAATAAGAGCAGAGAATACATACTCGTAGTTGTAGGCTAGAGGTATTTTGGTTTTATTACTCATCTTGAAATTTTCGAAATGGTAGTCAGTGTCTCCGTCAGATCTTTCACTTTATTTCCATGCATGCCTCCGCATGTTCTCTCATTGACTAGCTCGGGGTCCAAGAAAGATATATGAGCGTACTTTGTTTTGATGCAATGTTTTGCTACACACCTGCATAATTCATGGGGAATGTGTAGTCATTAACTATTTATGTATCGAGAGAGTAGTTAATTATAATATCGTACAAGTAGGGTGCTTACACAGTCCACAGCGTCAATATTTGTGTATCGAGATCGCGTCTCTAGAATAGCTAAAACAAGTTATTCCAACCGACAAAGTGCTTCTCTTCATTAGGATAATGGAAAACATGCGGCGGACGGATAATATATTCGAAACCCACCTGGCCCATCTCAAGTGCTTGGACCATGTAAGAATCATGCAAGTCACGCATATATGTTGTCAAATTTTTATTCTCCTCCTCGTCCACCAAGAAATTGCCTCTTTGAAACTGCATTACTGGTCTTACCGTCTCATATGCTAGTGAATCATAATAGATGTTCGCGGCATCATCCCTGCTTAATTCGGGGTTATCTTCGACAATCTTGTTTATCTTCCTTTGATCTTCATGGTGTATTTCTTCAACTCTTAATTGATTGTGCTTACTCTCTGTTTGCCTGTTGAATTCGGACTTCACCCTCCACTTAGGCAATGAGGCAAATAGATTCTAGAATCTAACTTTGTCTTCCTTGGAGGCTACTTTTGGCTTTTGTTGGTTCATCAAGTTTGTAATGCTACCACTCATCATCCTTTTCTTTTTTGTTGGTCCACTTTGGGAGCATTAGCGACCAAATCCGAGGACCTTTTCTAAGACTACGAGGATGTCTTAGATCTTGTTTTGGGCTATTGTGGAGGAGGAGGAGGACGAGAATTATGTTTTCTCGGGGGTGATGAAGAGAGAGGAGGAGGAGGAGGAGTCTTCTCTTTTCTTGGGGCTGATGAAGATGGAGGACGAGGAGGAAGTGAAGGAGATTTCTGTCTTCTTGGGGTGATGGCAAGGAACCTGGGAAGGTAGTGTGATCTCCTCTGTTGGGAGATGGTGAGTGATCATCTCTAGGCGGCGAAGATTCACCGTCGTCCTCATCATCATCCGAAGACAACTGGTGATTAAGCTTAATGAAGCGCTTGTGCCAGACCACATGAGCGCCCTTGTTCTGAACAAGGCGTTGCATGTCTTCCTGTGTGGGGTAATCAATGTGCATCTTGTTATACTTCTTATCAAGTATAGTATCAATGCTGACATGGGCATACCCCAATGAAATTGTGCGGCCATTAATGGTCCCATCTCTCGTAGGCCAGGCCAGGGCGACCGCCACCTTGTCAGTTGTCCATTGCTGATGAATGTACAGCCTAACATTGACGGGTTCAGTGATGCTGTCCACCGGATGAGGCGCATTCGCCTCTTCATCATCGAGCGGGGTCGATCCGTAGCTGCTACGACCCCTGAACTATGGGCTAAAGCTAGTCGGAAGAGGTTCTTGTGGTACTACTCCTAACCCTATGGACGCCATAAGTACATTGACTTTTTCTTAAACCCTCCCATAAACCCATTTTTCAAATTTGTCTTCCATCTCTTTTAGAACCCTCATATACTCTTCCTCTTGTGCCGCTCTACCCCTCGAGCGGCTCTGATAAGGGGAAGATTCTTCCTCAAATGCTATTTTCCAAGGAACAAGACCGACTCCTCTAGTGCGACCAGGGTACTCCTTATTTCCGAGTGCTTAGGTGAGCACGTCATTCTCCCTATTAGTATTGTAGGTCCCTTTCCTCACCTCATCATTTACCTCAGAGGTCCTCTGGACGAGGTTGCTCATCACTACTGGTGCTAGCCTAGAACTAGCAGTGATGAGCTACAGTAGTGCCGATACCACCTACCCGTTAAGTAGATTTAGTTTTGAGTTCCTTTCTATCTCGTACAATTAGCACAACGGTTAAGGCACCACACTCTTGACCCCGAGACCCGCGTTCGAACCCTAGATAGCCAATCGGGCCAAAATTTTTTGTTTTAATTTTTAATAACCTAACTACATTATAACTAAATAAAAGAAAATAAAAAACTAAACCTAACACAATTACTATATGTGGGGGTATAACTCCCGGTACCCACAGGGCTAGACATGGCCCGAGCTGCTAGGGGAGGCCTAGCCCACGAGACCACGCAGGCGCCGCGCCGCCAGTCAATGCTGAGCGTGCAAGACGACACCGCGTGAAGTACGGCGTAAGTCAGCATGCCTCGCAAGATTGCATGAAGATCCT